TTGAAGGACTTCCATCATGACCGTGATACCACTCAGAATAAGCGTCATAAACGTTTAGGAGATCTGAGAATTTTGGTAGAATATAAAATGGTGGGGCTGTTGACACAGTTTGAGATATAGAATATGTAATATTATTAGATGGATAAGAAGGTAATTGTCTGGATGATCCTTGCGAATCGATTGTCATTGCTAACTTAAAAAAAAAGATTGAATATATAAAATTAACTAAATATCAATCGCAACCTAAATAAATAATTTCTAGTGTAATAGGAAAACAACGTTAAAATAAAACATAATGCTTGCTTGTTGTCTATTAAACCTAGTCTCACTACTTAATATCCTCACTACTAACATCATTATTAATATAATTACTAATATCTTCTTAATAACACCAGTTTTATGACTTCTTCTTTTTGATTTATATTCGATTTAGGTCCAGGTGCATAACTCAATCATTTCTGTTTATGTTCAAGCAATGAAACGTAAGAATATAAGTCACAAATTTAGATGATATGATTTTTGTTTTTCATGGTGTTGTTGTGGTGTTATTATCGTTGGTGGTATTGTTATTGTTGATGTGGTTATTGTGTTGGTAGCGGTGGTGTTGTTGGGGATATAAGGGTGGTAGTGGTGTTATTGGTGATTTTACTGCTGTTGGTGGTAATGTTGGTGGTGGTTTTATTATTGTTGTTAATATTGGTGGTGGTGGTCTTGATGTTGTTGGTAAGATTGGTGGTGATGTTGGTGGTGGTGTTGATGGTGGTTTTATTATTGATGTTAATATTGGTGGTGGTGGCCTTGATGTTGTTGGTAAGATTGGTGATTTTGCTGCTGTTGGTAGTATTGGTGGTGATGACGATGATGATGGTGGTGGCATTAGTGGTGATTTTATTGTTGTTGTCGTTGGTGGTAGTGGTGAGGATGGTGACGTTTCTTCTTCTTGTTTTTCTTCGATCTACTAATATCAATAAAGTTAATTAGCCTTCGAAATTTGTAAAATAAACAAAAATTATATATTACCTTATTCACAAAAATACTTCGTTCTTCAATCAATCTTTGAGGTCCTAGTTTAGGACTTTCTATAAAGGTTTTTTTTTTTTTTGAAATTATCATTCATGCGCAATTCAACATAATAAAATTAGTTAAAAAGGTTACCTTCTGACGGTTGAGATATTCGATCTGTAATAGTAACCTTTGGGTCAGTGACCACAGCTTTCAAATGTTTTAGTTGGAAGTTATCTTTCTCATAGATTTCAGAATCTTTATTAGAATCTGCTGAATCCGAAGTGTCTATTTCACGCATAGATAACATATTATTATCCTCTGATCCATCTGTTGACGACGGTGCTGGGGAATCTAATGAATAATCTCTTATTGGATTTTTTGTAATTCTAATATTTACTGTTTCTAAATGCAATTCATCTGGCACAGTGACTCTTATGTCAGTATACCTTGGTGCCAATAGTTCAATTTTTAAACCTTCTGGTGCAACTGATACATCAAACCCGTTAGGATACATTGTCTTTGAAGTTTTGATGTCAGTTACTCCATTACCAATAACTTCCATGGCCAAATCATATTGAAAAGTTTTGGTATTAATTCCTTC